GGCAAGTCCTATTTAGTTCTTATTAACCGAGTGGGAGGTCTGTATGGAAGAATCTTGACCGAGGTCGCCAGTACAGACCGACCGTAGTGAGGTCTGTACCAGCGACCGAGGTCAAGATTCTCCCATACAGTCCGATCTAGCTCGGTTATAAGTTGTTTATTATATGGTCATGTCTTATATGCCACTTTTTTATAATCTTTGTACCTTTTTTTCTAGACCGATCTAGATGCCGGTCTAGATGGTAAAATCTAGACCGCTTTCAATATTGATTTCAGCCAATCAAATTCGTGAATTCGGTAGTTCCCACTCCTTGTGAGACAAAGCCATATAATAAGAACTACATACTAAACATTAACGAAATACTAATTAAGTTTCGATGAACTTTAATTTGGCAAATTGAGAAACGCCTGGGTGGAGTTAAACCAAGTTATGAAGGACATTTTAAGGCCTCCGCATATTTTAAGCCCCGAGCCATGCCTAAACATGCCTCTGATCTAGAAAGGCTCGCTTCCTGGGGCATTGTTCATCCATTCTTGAAAATTATCGTCGCACTGGTTTTATTGGGTATACTCCGTTTTGCCCTGAATATCTGCCCCAGGTTCTCACAGATTTACCTCAGTTTTGAAAGGGCAAACAAGTTAAAAACGGCAAACTTAAATTGTGTTCTTACCTATAATACATTTTACGTATACTTTAACAATTATGCTAGTAGACAATTAACATCGGATGCATAAAAAAAATACAAAACAGCATTTCCTACCAAACCTTACTTATGAATACCACACCCAATTCGCCTTTGTTCACAATATACAATTGCATCATTTGGTCTCGATATATGGCATTTGAAAGTCATCTTGTAGAGTACGGCAACTTGTTCGCACACAAGTTTAATCGGCCCCTTTTTATTACGGTTTTCGCTACAATGGACAATTTGAACCATTTTGTATCCATAGATGGCATTTTTGGCAACAAAAGACAATTTACATCAGCGCAGCATTTAAAAATCAACATGTAGAATACGGCACCCGATTCAGTCCTTTTTATTTCTCTTTCAGCCACAGTAGAAAACTTCCGTCATTTGCAATTGGTCTCGATGTATGGGACTTGAAAACCATCTAGAAACAGACGGCACCCAATTCGCACAGAAGTTTAATCGGCCCTGTTATAAAGCTTTTGACCAAAAAAGACAATTTCCAGAATTTCGGCTCGATAAATGGCACTCAGAAATCATTTTGTGGAATACGGCACCGAATTTGCACAAAAGTACAATCGCCTCTTTTATAACGCTTCTGGACAAAGTAGACAATTTCCATCATTTGGTCAACATATGGCTGCCGCATTCGAAAATGATCTCATACGGAATACGGAACCCAATTCGAACACAATGTTCAAGCGGCCCTTTCATTTCGATGTTGGCCGCAATGGACAATTTCCATCATTGCCACAATTTCCACCTTTATGCGTTGTTTAGAAATCGCCTTGTAGAAAATGGTACCAAATTCGCACACACGTTTAATCAGCCCTGTAATAAAGGTTTTGGCCACAAAAGACAATTTCCACAATTTGGGTCCCTTTATAATGGGACATTTGAAAATCATCTTGTAGACTACCGTACGCAATTCACACACAAGTTAGGGCGGCCCTTTAGAAAGCTTTTTGCCACAAAAGAGATATGGCACTTGGAAATCATCCGCAAGAATACGGCACCCAATTCGAACAACAAGTTTATATATAGTCCTTTTATTACGCTCTCGGCCATTTCTATCATTTGGTCTCCGCTTGTATGGCATTTGGAAATCATCTTATAGAATACGGCACCCAATTCGCACACAAGTTAAATCGACCCTTTTGTAAAGCTTTTGGCCGAAGAAGACAATTTCCAGAATTTCGTCTCGATCTATGGCACTCGGATCATCTTGTGGAATACGGCACCGAATTTGCACAAAAGTACAACCGGCTCTTTTATCATGCTTCTGGATAAAGTGGACAATTTCCATCATTTGGTCATGATATATGGCTGCCGCATTCGAAAATGATCTCATACGGAATAAGGCACCCCTGATTCGAACACAATGTTCAAGCGGCCCTATTATTTCGATTTTGGCCGAAATAGACAATTTTCATCCATGACATTTGTTCTCTCTACTTTACGTGTTTTTTAGAAATCATCTTGCAGAAAACGGCACCCAATTCGAACACAGCTTCAATCGACCCTGTTAGAAAGTTTTGGCCACAAAGGACAATTTCCACAATTTGGGTCTCTTTACATTTGAAAATAATCTCGTAGACACTACCGCGTGCATTTCACACACAAGTGGAAGCGGCCATATTATAAAGCTTTTGGCCACAAAAGAGAATTTCTGACATTTTGTCTCGATGTATGGCACTTGGAAATCATCCACAAGATATAAGGCACCCAATTCGAAAACAAGTTCATGCAGTCCTTTTATGACGCTTTTGGCCAGAAAAGAGAATTTTTATCATTTGGTCTCGAAAAATGGCACTTGGAAATCATCCTATATAATACGGCAACGAATTTGTACACAAATTTAACCGGCCCTCTCATTGTGCTTTTGGCCACAATGGACAGTTTTCATCATTTGATCTTTTTACTGTATTTGACATTTTGGGAATTATCATATGGGATAAGAAACTCTTAATATTGGTTACAGCATACAAAACATCGAAAGAAATCAACAGAATGCTTATTGAAGAATGTTCATGAAATGCAGTACCATATATGAAGTTATGGATGCACTTGCGATTTTTAAGGGAACTAGCAGAGAACGCACCACTAAAAGAATAAACCAATTCCTTTGTAAGATAGGGATTTGGAACGTTTGGCTATCTTACTAAGTATTTTTATTTCCGAGCCTCGATGAATGTCTTAAAACTCGATGACCCTGTTGCGCCACATTTTGTAAGACGTTACACCGATAGAATCGTTGGGAAGTCTTAAGCTATCGTTATTTAATATAAACGAATGTACCCGAAAAAAGTTTACACAATTCAAAACGAAAAAACCTAATGAGGTCACCGCACTCCTTTCAGAAAAAGAACGATTTATATCCAAGGGACACGAGGAAAAAGCTGTAATTTTTAATGGGCACCAGAAAATTGACCAGGAGTACAATTATGCGCAGTAAAGACGCACAATACCACACTAGGTAATGACCTTTATTTAAAGCAAACATTGCGAACATAAAATAAATACGAAGTACTATTATACAATCCAACCAAGGCCAAGGAGGGCAAACAAGCAGTCAAAGTATTTTTTTATGGAACCAAAGGGCTTTTGACTTTTTTTTTTAACTATTCTAGACCATTTATGCACAAGAATGTAGCTTATTAAGGTTGTATTAAATACAGGAAATGTATGGATTTCATTGGCAACTCTATGCCAATCTACGTAAAAAGTCTTTAGTAAAGCTAAGAACCTTGTTCCATACACATCGCTGTATCACGAAGTTTAACAGTTCTGAAATAATAACTATTCCTGTGTATTTGGGAGAAATATCACCCCTCAACTCTTTGATATTACCCCCTCCCCCGAAACAATGTTGGATTTGCTATCTGCAAGAAGTGCTTCGTTTCTGCACAACATTGAAAACGGGAACGGGGGAGGGGGGAGGGGTTTAGCTCAAAATCTACACGGGAGTTGAAGTGGAAAAATGAAAATATTGAAGTTGACACTCATTTCAACAAACTGTCTCAAATGCTTTTGTCGCCCCTGCTACATTTAGAATGATATATTGACAAAATTTCCAAAGGTCTCACTGTCAATCCCAAGAAACTCTTTAACTACCCCCACGAAATCGTCTACGTAGAGTGGTTTGCCTAACGCAATGATGGCACCGTGATGTCCATGTACATGACTGTCCACAAAGATTAAAAATTCATTTCGGGCACCAACGAACAACACTGTCTTTTCATTAACAATGAAAAGCGCATAACTGACAGTGCTGACGTTGCAAAGTTCAAAAAGGTGATGCTTCAGTGTTGACTGTCCATGGACATCGCACACTCTGACAGGCAGTGGTTCCGAAATGGAGACATTCAAGCAATCACCAGCTACCATAGCAGCTTCTGCAGCGGACAAATATCTCTGAGGCAGACTGGCACGCGAATGGTCATACAGAGCGTTCCCAACCTTGATGCATCCACATATCAATGACACCCAATCCTTAGGAAGAAACTGAAAGGGTTTGAGATCACAGCGGACTTGGTGAATTCCTTGAGCAATCAGCAAAGCGATGACACTGCATGCATTGCTGCCATTCCTTCCGTCAATTGTCGATTGGCTGATGTGCAAAGGAAATTGCCAAGTCCAGACAGTGCCCTCTGCACCCCAAGAATGAATGGGAATGATGATCTGACTATGATCATCATCCATTGTTGTGGCTGGTATATTGATATCATCATCCTCCACATCACTATCACTTTCGGCATCTATATGGGTACCTTCGTTGTCATCATCTTCATCATCTTCGTCAGCAATGCCATCACAATTTGCATCAAATACTTTAGTGAAGCTGTAGATGGCTCTGCTAACTTGCTCTTTACAGAAGAACAATCCTTCCTTTAGAAAAGCCAGTTTACCATAAAGAACCGCAGGTTCAGACCCAAAATAAGAGTATTTGACCAGGGCAATCTATAATGAAAAATTAAAGGTATACTTTTTTCAGAAAAGCATTTTCCTAATACCCCACCTCAGCCTCTTGTTAAAAAAGGATTAATAAAAGTGCAGGAAACTATTTTCCAGTTATATTGCTATTACATGTATGTCTACGTTAAAAATATGCTCAAAACTTGAGTGAATGTTAGGAGACTTCAATGTTGACAGTGTAGAGTATTTACAAAAAAATTCTACAGCACCGAGTCAATTTCGTTTTCTTTATTTTTTTCTTCGTCAGCAGAAGGTGACAAATCATGCCTTTCCAGCCCATCTTCCACTGAAATAATAAAGGGAACAATAATCACAATGACATGTGCATGGTTGT